GCCATACATTTTAATCACAAACACACACACACACACACACACACACACATACACACACGCACACACATACACGCACGCATACACACAGTTTTTATTTGTTTTCCTGTGGTGCTAGATAAAACCCAGGGCTTTGCCTATGCTAGGTGAGTACTCTACTCCAGGCCATAATGCAAAAATATATGGCCATATGACATCATTATCATTTTACACAATGAATTTTTACTTACATTTACTGACTTAGTTTCTTTCTCTCCTTTCTACGCTCTCATACTATTATCTGGCTGAAGAATCTCCTGTTAGTATTTCCACCTTATGGCTAAGGTAACAAATGATCTCCACTCATCTTTGTCTGAAATGTCCTTATTTCATCTTCATTTTCTCCAGTAAGTCCAGATTATCAATTCCTTTTTTCCTGCCATTTGAAAATGTCATGCTGCTGTCTCATTGCTTCCTAATTTTTGTGGAGAGACCATAGTGGTCCTGTTGTTCTTTGAAAGTTAACAACCCACTCTACTCTGGTTGCATTAAGACTGTCTTGGATTTTCCGTGGTTGGATTTTGATGTGCCCAGGGTGATTTTCTTGATAAACTGTATGTGTGGGTTTAATAGCATTTGTCAATTTTGGAAAATTCTTGGTCGTTATCTCTTCAAATATTTCCTCTGCACATTCTTTCTTGTCTCTCTATATTATGTTTTTTAAAAATATTTTGTTAGTTGTAGATGGCCACAATACCTTTATTTTATTTATTTTTATGTGGTGCTGAGGATTGAACCCAGTGCCTCACACATGCTAGGCAAGCGCTCTGCCATTGAGCCACAATCCCAGCCTCTACATGAAGTTTTGAAATGAAGCCTCACTATGCTGTGTGTGTGTGTGTGTGTGTGTGTGTGTGGTGCTGGGGATTGAACCCAGGGCCTTGTGCAGGCAAGGCAAGTGCTCTACCACCTGAGCTACATCCCCAGCCCTCCTTCTTGTCTCTTCTTGGGGATTCTGAGTATGTGGATTTTAGACCTTTCTAACCAGTCTGTGCCCTAACTTGTAGCATTCAGCCATTTGGGGACCCCATCCAGGAGCCCAGGGCTGTCTAGCAAGTCGCCCTGCTCCTTGGCAAGCTCTGAGCCCCATTTTTTCTGTCCTGTCAGTCCTTGGAGGCTGCCAAGAGCTGTGCTTAGCTTTTCAGCCTCTTGGCCCCTGGCAAGTGCTGTGAGGGAACAGCAGAGACAAACATGAGCCTCTGATGACTGTGTTTCCTGTCCCCGTGGAGTATTGGCTCCCGGGGCCCTCGTTGGCCCGGTTTGCTGCCTTGGTAGCCTTCCAGTGTCTTCCAGTTCGGCCAGGTTCCACCTAACGATGGGACACATTCTGATAAACGCATCATTAGGTGCCTCTGTCACTGTGTGGACATCACAGAGTGTACTCACAGCCGCCCAGCTGGCACACGTCAGTCCCACGACACGATCACTTGATGCAGTAAAGAGATTCATGAACACAAGATGCRCGAGGTTCTTGGTGATGTGACACCGTGTTCTGTTTTACATTAAAGTTTTATTTTATAAGTAAAAGGAGTACACTCATAGATAATGACAAAATGGCATATATAGGGCCGGGTGTGGTGGCGCACGATGTAATCCCAGCGGCTCAGGAGGCTGAGGCAGGAGCATTGCGAGTTCAAAACCAGCCTCAGCAAAACCAAGGCCTAAGCAACTCAGTGAGACCCTGTCTCTAAATAAAATACAAAATAGGAATGGAGATGTGGCTCAGTGGTCGAGTGCCCCTGAGATCAATCCCTAATAGCCCCTGYAAAACCTATATACAGTAAGTACTTAAACCAGTACCATAGTCATTTGTTATCATTATCAACTATTATATATAATGGAATATGTTGTGCTTTTACATGGCAGCCAGGGGCTTGTTTCCACCGGCATCATGAGCACATGGGTGATGCTTCATGCTAGTGGGTGCTACCAGGTCACTGAGTGGTAGGTATTTTTCACTCTGTTGTCATCTTATGGGGCCACCATCATGTACACAGCCTGTGATTTAGTGAAAAGTTGTTGTGGGGTGCCTGACAGGGTGTTTTTAGTATTTCTCTACTTTTTCTAGTTGTTCTTGGCAAGAAAATTTATCGAATGCGAGCTGGTCTTCCCTAACCAGAAACAGACGTGGTGCTTTCTGGGGATGACAGAGGGGTGTGGTTTCTGTCCCGGGGGGCTGAGGCTCTGGTGGCAGAGCCAGACACAACAACAGTATAAAGCATTAACAAAATGCGACTTTCAAGGGGCCAGAGAAGACATTCATTCTCAGAGGAGGACCTGGGAAGGTCTCCCGAGGAAGAGGAATGTTGTGGCATCCATCGTCTCCGACAGGAAGGGGCCAAGGTGCTGTGCTCTGGTGGACATGATGGGGTGTTGGGATGTGTGGCATGTGAAGAGCAGGAGTGAGGACAGGGAGGGAGGTACAGTTGGAACTGAAGCTGGAAGAGCCGGTTTGCACTGCGTTGATTCCCAGGCTGAACTTGACATTTTTTGTATGAGATGGGGGATGGCTGACACCTTCATAGGTTGCGGGTGGCCAGTTCCAGCTTCGTCTGTACTAACTATGCAGCTGATTGTCTCAGTCTTCATTTTTTCCCGTGTGCAATAAGAAATTGAATACTTGCCTCCTTTCCTCCGCAAAGGCCTCTGTGGCCAGGAGGGGAGCCTGGCCAAGCCACCATTCTGCTTTGGAGCCATGGCCTCGTTTGTCAGGGTGTGATCTGAAGGGGGTGGTCTTGGAAACCCCCATCACTTCTGGCCTTGTTGTGAGTCACGGGATATGAGTTGCTGGGGATCCAGTGACAACAGAGGGCTTCCTGTGCTCTGGCACCCACCTCAGGGCTCTGGGCTCCATGGGCATCCCTAGACCCATGGAACTGCCTCTCTTCCTGGCAGATGCTCGGCAGCTCTGGGTGGCTGTGCCTTTGGGAAGGTCATTTGGTCCTCCCCCCAGGGTATCATGCTGTGAGCTGAGGAGCGTGATCACCCTGCCCCTGCGCACAGTGGTCACAGTGAGTGTATGATGCCCCTGCGGCTTCCACCTTCTCGTCCTGCTTTTGCCCTTTGGGATTCCACATCCCATTCTGCTTCTTCCTCCTTGAGATGCACCTGCAGTCCTTGTAAAGCCCCAGATCTCCGTGATGTAAGGTCCAAGGCATGGGAAGTTCCTTGACCTCTGCAATGAGAATCAGGCTCCACTGGATATGGTGACCACAAATGCTCCTGTAGTGCTTATGAGGTGACCTTCAGTTAATCCTCAGAACATTTCTGTGGGCTAGATATGGGTATAATCCCCATTCTGTAGATGAGGAAACTGAAGCAAGGAGAAATATTGCCCAGGAGACCGCACAGCTACTAAGTGTCAGAATGAGGATTCAAACTGAGACCCTCTGGCTCCTGCTAACTTGCTAACTTCCCATTCTGCTAACTTGCCTCCCTGGCTAGTGACAGGCCACTTGGCCCTCTTCTTGTTTGCCACAGAGAGCGTATTTCCTCCTCTCTGGACCAGGAGCAGGCTGGTCCTAATCTCCTGAGTTCTTCAGGAATAGTCACTATGAAAAGGAGGAGATTGTCACCAGGGCACTGTGGCTGCTCTGAGGGTGAGATATAGACCTCGGGATGGCTCCCTTGCACAATTCCCAGTTTGGCTAAAGACAAATCCTGAGGCCTGTTTGAGGGGGCTTTGACTGACTCCCCTAGGAGTGGTTGCCCTCCTCATGGTCCAGGATGTAAGGCATGGTATGATCAGAAGTGTGGGTGGGTGTCCAAAAGCAGAGCAGAGGAAGGTTTGGATACGTATGGGAGAAGAGAGAGAAGGAGAAGGAAATGCCAAGCTTCCCTTTAGCTCCTCAAAGAGGCCATGTCCTTCTGGTCCATGGTGCCCAGCGGGAATGCCTTACCCTAGAGAACTGGGCAAGCTCACGCAGAAACCTGCCAGACTCTCCAGCGCGGGCAGCTTCAGAGTGGTACTCAAATCCTGCACCCCACTAGCAGCTCAGTCCCTGGAGCCAAACTATCTTCCCATCCAGTAAACGTGTCCATGGAGCCTATGAAATTTACCATGAAGGGGCCAGAGAACAGTAATGCACGAGCCCCGCCCTAAGAGGCATGTAACCAAGTTGGGCACCTGAAAGTATCTGGGCAGGTAGCAGAAGAATGTCAGGATCCCCGCCCAACCCCGGCAGGCTGGTTCAGTAGGGATGTGTGGAGGACGCCAGAGGCGAGCTGGCCCTGGGGAGCGAGAAGATGGAAGCAGTGGGAACCAGGGAGGGTGCGGAGTGGCGGCCTGCACTCGCCCCATCCCCCATCAGACCCACTGCCCTCCCTCTCCACCAGCCCCTGGACCCCCAGGTGGCTGGTCTACTGGGCTCCTCCGGTGGGTTCCTCACCCTCTCTTGCCTTCAGGGTGGGTTGAGTTGGGTTTGCCCAATAGGAGGCACCAGAAAGAGAGCAGAGAACATGGGAGTGAGGGCCACCATCCCTCCCAAACCCTCCTAACAGAGGTGGCTGTGGTGGCTCTGAAACCCTTTAGCAACGTCCCTGCTCCCGTCCTGGAACCAACTCCTCTCCCAGGGACCCTTCAAGCCCTGTGGGTGGTCAAGCCCACCTCCGTTGCCAGCCCAGGGTTCCCCACCGTCCTTCCTTAGTTCCCCTGAACTCTGCCCACATCTCCATAGATAGACGTTTAAAAACTCTTCCTAAATTGAGTTCCAGTGTGTGGTGTTCCTGGCCAGGAACCCTACTGAGAAAAGCCTTCCAGAGGTATGGGAAGGCAGGTGGGCAAAAGAGGTGGCACCCATTGACCCATATGGCCCAGATGCTAGGTGGAGTGGACATGGTGGAACACAGAATCGGAAAGCTTTCCAGACAAAGCCCAGAAGTGTGAACTCGGAGGTTCTGGGGTGTCTGTAACCCTGAATCCTGTCCTAAACACTCTACCCTGACGTGACTTTCCTCCCTTCCAGGAGGCCCCTGCTGCTTCCCCTGCCTGCCCCTGACTCCTCAGGGCTCCTTTGGAGGGATCCTCCCACCGCAACGAGGATGGCGAGGCCGGTCTGCCCCTGCCTCTGCAGCTCTTTGGYCTTGCTTGCCTTCCTGCCCTCCCTGAGCCTGGCGCAGTACGAGAGTTGGCCCTACCAGCTCCAGTACCCCGAGTATTTCCAGCAGCCAGCTCCAGAGTACCACCAGCCCCAGGTGCCTTCTGATGTGGCCAAGATCCAGGTGCGCCTGGCAGGGCAGAAGCGGAAGCACAGCGAGGGCCGCGTGGAGGTCTACTACGACGGCCAGTGGGGCACGGTGTGCGACGACGACTTCTCCATCCACGCGGCGCACGTCGTCTGCCGAGAGCTGGGATATGTGGAGGCCAAGTCCTGGACGGCCAGCTCCTCCTACGGCAAGGGCGAAGGTAAAAAGCTCTGTGTTTGGAACTCAGTGCCCATCACCTGGCAAGACCGGGAGCAGTTTTCTGTAGGTTAGCCTGGCAAAGAAAGCTCAGATTGCTATCGAGTCTGAATTCATGCCTGCTATTCCTCCATCGGCCTGCAGGCTGCGTCCTGCAGGAAAGTGGGTGGGAGGGCACCTGGGAGGGACATCCTAATTTTCTGGGACTTTCCTGGTTTGAGCACAGAAAGTCTCAGGCAAACCACGAATGGTTAGCGACTCTAGGCGGGTGCTGAAATCGGCCTTGAGCATCTCTCCAAGCCGATGACCTCCCTGAACACTGCATCAGCTGCCCAAGAGAACCATGCCTTCCTCCGATGGCCCCTTCAGAGCAGGACCTTTGCCCTGTCTCACAACGGCTGCCCAGGGACTAGCACATCTACCCAGGTGGAGTTCATCGCTTTAACACTAACATGCTAGTGTGGCCTTGGGCATGACAGGAACAGAGTCACTTTGTGTTTTTCACCACTTTTTGGCCCATTCTTTCCTCCATTATTAGATTCAAATTACTTTATCTTGAAAGAAAGATGCAGCAGCAGCTTGTAGGAGCTTTGAAAGGTGGGTCTTAGAACCCTMAACCCAACTCAGAGCTAGTGCTGACCTAAGGACACATTGTTTAATGTTGGGGATAAGGTCTAGAAATGGGTCATTGAGTGATTTGTTGCTGTGACATCATAGAGTGTCCTTGCACAAACTGAGACAGCTAGGAGGTCACTCGGTGATGGTATAGAATTTGGGGGGACCACTGTTACATACATGGTCTGCAGTCAACTGAAATGTTGTCATGCAGCATGTGACTGACTGCACACGAGAAGTCAGYCAGACTTCCATAGAGGGAGACACATATCCTCTTTGGCTTCAGTTTCTCCATCTGGAAGTTGGGCTCTCTGAGAACTCTTGAAATCCTCAGCCTGTGTTCCCCAAAGGGAAAGTAGGTGGTGGAGGTGAAGGGCATCATTTAAACAATCTCCCTCCAGGAGCTGAGTTCTTCCCTGGCTTGGTAAAGCAAAGGTAGCTATCCCACCAGCAGGGGCCGGGTTGCCAACTAGAGAGAGGTGCCGCACTCCTGTCCTGGGCTACTGGATCAGTGCACTGACTGTGTCAGACTCTCCCGAGGGGATGAAAAATACAGAACACCTCAGACCTAAACCCACAGTCTTCTGGTTTCCAAAGTCTGGGCTGGTGGTGGGGAGCTGAGCTTCTGGGAGCCTGTGCCAGGATTGTATCTGTGAACTGGTTTGGGAGACAGTGAAATAGACAAGTGTTAGGCTCCCTTCCAACCCTTCCTTCTGTTCTAGAAATTATAGGAGAAAGGACGCATGCACCATCCCCTGCATGCCTTACCTCCATGCAATGGAAAGTTTCCTGTTAGGAGAACTGGCTCAGGAGCCGGTACCTAGAGTCAAATGTTTTCAGCAGCTCGCTCTGGGCTTCTTGCAGGATTAGAGCCAAAGCAGCCGAGATGGGTTAGCAGATGTGGGACCTTTGGAATCCATTTCTGCCTTCTTTAAAACTTCCAGGGCTCCTGCRTATGTCCACACCTCTTTATTCTGCCAGCTGAGGGATCCAGGGCTGACAACATCAGGCTCATGGTTTTTTCCAGACTCTCTAGGGTTCATTATTTTGTGATAAGTACTCTCCAATGACAGTGGGGTATTTTTGTCTCTGGTGACAACTTTATTTTATTTCTGCCCAAATTTAAAGCTTACCTGTCATCAGACAAGGTGGTTATGTTTTTTCTCAGCAGGAGCAGGCATGAGGGTAGTTGGAAAGATGGGCTTTCCTGGGTGGGATTCTGCTCTCTAAGGATGATGTGGATGAAGAGTTCAAGAGAGTTGAGGGAGGGATTAAAGCTTGGTCCAGGGAGCTCATGCTTGGTCATGGAGGAGTAAATGATCATGCAGGTTGCTGCCATCTGTACATCAGTGGTCCCTGCAGACACCGTGGCATTAAAGGAATAGACAGATAGCAGGAGGGGCACAGATGGAAGAGTGAAGTGTGAAAAGGAGGTGGAGGAGGGCACAGTGGTTGGTAACAATAAGGTGTGAGCTATGACCATGGAGGAGCTGGGTGGAGGAAGGCCGCTGGACAGAGGAGGTATGTGACCAAGAATCCAAGAATACTAGAAGGGCAGTCTGTGGACACTGAAGCCATCAAGGTTATGGCAGGCRTAGTTCAAGGAGAGGACAGAGAGAAATACATGCTAGACTCAATGAACAGTGTCCCGTGTCCAGGGCTTTAAGAGGCAGGCTGTTCATCTAAAGTGGTACTTGGTTTGCATTATGAGAGGCCTTTTAAATATGAATGTGAATTTCATTGCCATGGGTGGAGTTTTGGTTTGCTTTTAGCCCTGGGCACCTGTCGGGCACTCCTTAAGTATCAGCTGATTGATCCATTTTGATCTGGGAGAATACAAAAGCAGTTGACACAACAGTGTGTGCTATTATGACCCGAGTATGGCCAGTGCCCTGGGCTGTGCCCCAATAGAGTTTGACCTGTCAATCAGGCTTGTGACCCTATAAGAGGCCATTCTTCCAGGAGTTCCCAGTCTCTTGTGTAGTTCAAGCAGAAGTAATGAGACTGGGGTACAAGGGACCCCCTCCCCTCCCAGTTTTCCAGCCTGGCTTGTCAGCAGGTCTCAGTGCTCACAGAACCTCTGATAAACCACGGCCCTTTTAGTTCTAGAAGAGGCAGCTGGCCCATTTAACACCCTCTGGGTGGCTCCCAGCCTCATGAACCCAGGTTGAGGTTCTCCACCCAACTGCACCCCAATTCCTGATCAGAACCCCAAAGCTGATGACCCTGCAGATTCTAACTTGAACAATTTCCATTACCCCGGCAGAGCCCAGGGCCTGGCATGCAAACGGAAGTTCGTTTATGATCTTTCTCCTCCAAAGGACCTGTTAATTTGTTCACACATCTCTTCTCTCATCAGGAGAAGCATTTCATAGAGTAAATGAGTGGAAAGAGTAAAAGGAAATTTTGCTTCTGATTGAATAGCTTTTTTGTGTCCAAAGTGTGAGCCTCATCTTGTGTCCCAAATACCACTTTCCCAGCAAGTGAGATGCCAGTCTATGCCTAGATCCATCCTGTGTTCCTGAAGGCAGGCCCAGAGGCTGAACAATCTAGGAGATGGACATTAAGTGTCCAGGGGGAAATCACAAAATAAAACAAAAAATTGTTGTGAAATTGGGCCAAAGAGTAGACCAAGCATGGTGATGTCATCTTGTTCTAAGTTCAGATTTACATATTAAGAAAAAGTCATTGGCCAGGCTTAGGTCGTGTGAGCAGCCTCACTGGGGGTCCATTGAAGGTGCAGAAGAGAGCAGCTGTTGGGTGGCTCAGCTCCCTTAGCACTCCTGGGTGCTAACTTCCTAGGCTCCATCTCAAACGTGAAGCTAACTCCGTAGCATCCAGGCTTTGCAACTCTGCACAGTTCCTTTAAAGGTGTGCTGCTCTGCTCCAGCCCTTAGCGAGGATGGTTTCTGTCGCTGCAGATGGAATAAGGGCACCACTTCTTTTTGCCATCAGCTCTTGGGCAGCGCAGCTACAGAACATTCCAAGGGAGAGGCCCCGCTTGAAAGGTGGAGGGTCTTTTCCGTTGCTAGTACTTAGTAAGACAAACACGGGCTTGTTGTAGAAACAGCAATTGATTAGGGAGCATCTGTTTCAGTGGAGCTCCACGGCTTGGGAACCAGGCCAGATTGAGAAACCAGTTGGAAAACCTCAGCCCAGATGTTTTCAATAAACTCTTTGTTCCCACAACGTGTCTGAGGCGCTCTCCTTTGAGACCAGACTAACCATCCATCAGAGCAGACGCGTTCCAACCAGGCCTGGAAGTCAGAAGATTGGCCCTCGTGGCCTCCCTGACCTTAAAGAACCTCAGCTTCCCTCCTTGATTTTCTGATCTCTATAATGGGGGTGTTTTAAAATCTTCTTTTTTCCTTGATCATGGAGGCAGTAAAATGTATTGTTTTCCTGACTTCCTGGGAGGAGGAAAGGAAGACTGAGTATGTCCCAGGCAAACCCATTATTTTGTTGGATCTCCATGGTTACCTGTTGATTGGGCATTGTTTCATTTGAAAAATGGGAACCAAGCTTGGTTAAGTAGCTGACCAAGTCACTAGTGCCCAAGTCCATGGTAGATGGGACTAGAAGCCAGGTTTGTGGGACTCTAATGTTCAGTGGGCTTCTAAAAGGAGCCTTGAGAAAAACGACGAGACTCTTGGTTTTCTTTCATTTGGTAGTGGCATTTATAAAAATCACTATTTAAAAACCCTCCAGTACCTTTTTAAAATTTTTTTTTTTTTTTTTTTTTTTTTTTTTTGGAGAGAGAGGGTACCAGGGATTGAACTCGACCTCTTAGCCACATCCCCAGCCCTATTTTGTATTTTATTTAGAGACAGGGTCTCACTGAGTTACTTAGTGCCTCGCTGTTGCTGAGCCTGGCTCTGAACTTGCAATCCTCCTGCCTGAACCTCCCAAGCCACTTGGATTACAGGCGTGCACCACCATGCCTGGCATTTTCTTTTAATTTTTATTTTTAATAGTGGTAAAGCACATATAACATAAAATTTATGCCTTCACCATTTTGAAGTGCACAGTGCAGTAGTTCACTTTTAGGTATATTTAGCATGTTCACCTTTCCTGTGTAGACATCTCCAGAACACTTTCATCTTGCAGCACTGAAGCTCTGTGCCCATGAAACAAGCACAGCCCACTCCCCTTGCCCCTGGACCCTGATGACCCCATTCTGTTTCCTGTCTCTGAGAGAGTTTGACTGTTCTAGGTGCTGCATCTAAGTGGAATCATCTAGCATTTGTCCTTTCATGACTGACTGACCTACTTCACCTGATGTCTCCAAGGTTTGTCCATGCTGTGATAGGTGTCAGAACGTTTTTCTCTTTAAGTCTGTTCCATTGTATTTATGTACCACGATTTGTCAACAGACAACTAGACTTGCTTCCACCCCTTGGCCATTGTGCATAATGCTGCTGTGACCAGGGGTGTGCAGGTACCTGTACRAGACCCTGCTTTCAGTTCTTTTGGATATATACCCAGAATTGCCAAACTGTATGATAGTTTTATTTTACTTTTTTTTTTTTTTTTTTGGCACGAGGGATTGAATCCAGGGATGCTTAACCACTGAACCACTACTCCAGCCCTTTTTTCAATATTTTTTATTTAGAGACAAGGTCTCACTGAGTTGCTTAGGGCCTCACTAAATTACTGAGGCTGGCTTTGAGCTCACTATCATCCTGCTCCAGTCTCCCGAGCTGCTGGGAGCCAACTTGCTGCTTTCCATAGCAGGTGCATGATTAGACCTTTGCACCAGTGGTGCATAGCCACACCAACACTCAYTATTTTCTGTGTTGTTTTGATAGTAGCCATCCTGATGGTGTAAGGTGGTATCTCACTGTGGTTAACCTCTAGTTCTTTGCACACTGGATTCTCTACTTAGCAGGTGACATAAAAGAGCAGGAGGTGAGCAGAATTCCACAACGGCCTTCTGGAATGTGAAGAGCTGGCTCTCTGGGTTAGTGTAGCTGGCCCATCTCTCAACCAGGCTTAATAAACATCAAGAAATGAAATGGGCACTGAGCAGGGAATTGAGGCCCAGGCTCTGGGATCAGAAGCCTGGCACATGTGGGCTACCTCTCTGAACCAGGGCTCTGTTTCCTTCATGTGGAAATAATCATGCCACCCTGTCCTCTTCCCCAAGGTACGGAAAGATCTAGGAGGTAATCCATGGGAAATTGCCYCCAAATCTGCAAATCTTCAATTGCAGAATAGCTTTGCTTTTCCCCAAGGGGTCAGAGGTCAGCCTCTACCCCACATGGCAGGTGAAGCTGGCCTGTGCGATCGTCAGGAACACTAAAATCCTTCTCTTCCTTGTCATTACCATTTTTGGTAACTAAGGGGTGGCAGTAAACCRGGCACGTGCTATGCACTATCTAATCAACACACACCCCTACAGCTCCAGTGCCACTGTCATCCCACTTAAGCTTTAACCAGGATCATTCAGCTGAAAGTGCCTGAGCTAGAACTCAAACCCAGCTCAGTGGCTGATGCYCCTGCTTTTTCAGCTACACCACATGACTACTGAGCTTCAATCTGATTCTGTCTTAACTGTTTCCAGCCTCCCACTTCTCCCAAATCACATCAGCTGCCTATTCCCGCAAGGGAATCCTGATGCTCTAGGACCAGATGCAATATCTTCACATGAAATCAAATGATAGCCACACACAGCTGCCAAAAATCAGTACCCCCCGCCCCAGACACCCGATCTGCATTGATGTGGTGCTTGATTTCTCTCTTCTGCTTCCTTCAGGGCCCATCTGGTTGGACAATGTCCACTGCACTGGCAAAGAGGCGACCCTGGCAGCCTGCTCCTCCAATGGCTGGGGTGTCACCGACTGCAAGCACACAGAAGACGTTGGCGTGGTGTGCAGTGATAAAAGGATTCCTGGGTTCAAATTTGACAATTTGTTGTTCAACCAGATAGAGGCAAGTCACATGCTCTTGATGACTTCCTTTTTAATTTTTATTTTGAGACGGGGGTAAGTTGCTGAGACTAGCTTGGAACTTGCTGTCTTCCTGTAACTGAAATTCCAGGGGTGCGCCACCTGGCTTCTTGATAACTTCGTCACCTGGACATTTTCCTTCTCCCGTGTAACTCACTTCTTTCCTGATGATTTTAAGAAGTGTGTGTGTGAGCACAAACGAGGGAGACCTGCCCCAGCTGGATCTGTGTGTGAGGACACTTTGGGGATGGCATTCATGGGGAAAGGGAATTTCTGGCACAGAGAAGAACTGGGGCAAAGTCAGGAGAACAGAGTGTGGCCTGGGATGATGTTGGAGAGAAGATGCATCAAACATGCATGAGACCTGAAGCTAAAAAGGMGAGCAGGACACACCTTCTGAGYTTGCCCTTTGGACTGGGACCATGTWTTTGTTATTATTTGATGGGTRACACATTTCCCTGGATTTTTCAGCCTAGCAACCACATTTATTATCTTGCATGGTTTCTGAGAGTCGGATGGCACAGTGGCTTAGCTGCTTGATTCTTCTCAGTCTCCTGAAGCTGCAGTTAGGGCTGGGCTGGAGCTGGAGATTCCACCCCACCCCATGCTAATTCCTGTGTTTGTAGGCAGGCTTTGGTCTCTTTCTGGCCRTGGGCGGGAGCCCTCTGTTTCCCTTGGCTTGGCCTCTCCATAGGTTGCTTGAGTGTCTTCAAGACATGGTGACTGTCTGCCCCCACATTGAGTGACGGTGAGAGGGCAGCACCAGGTAGGAGCCAAAGTCTCTTAAAACCTCATCTCAGAAGTGATGTCCATCATTTCTGCTGTATTCTCTTGATCGCACAGACCAACCCTGGTCCTGTGTGGGAGAAGATGATATAAGGGCAGAATGATATAAGATGAATATAAGATGAATACAAGAATGATATAAGATGAATATAAGATGAAGATGATATAAGATGAATACAGAAGACGGAGATCATTGGGGGCCATCTTGGAGGCTGGAAACCACTGGATAGTTGGTCCCAAATCTAGCTGAGGACCAGATTACAAATGCAGACCTGGGGTCTCGCGCCTGACCTCCTGCAATAGAACTTCCTGTTACAAGACCAACTTATTTTTCTAAGCTTCCTCYGATGACTCTAATGTTGCCAGCCCCAATCAGCACTTAGAAGAGGCCAGCAGGACTTGTGACCCTTTGACATTTATGGCGCARTTTCAGATTGAGCTGTTTTTTATTTTCCACAAACTTCACCCGAACAGCTAAACAGATGCCTCTTGCTCTCCTCGTATGTGTAAGGTAGGACAGGAAAAGGTTGCAGTGAGACTCCCGTCCCCGTGGACCATGTTAACTCTCACCCCCAAGGGACTGTGGGATCTACCATGAACCCGGGTCAAGGAGCCTCACTGTGCCTTGGCCTCCAGTCCACCCCAGCAGTACTGCTGATGAAAGGTGACTTGAAATGGCCTTATTTGGGCCCCAGAGGAAGTGCCCCCCAGACTGTGGTCCATGTGTTTTCCTCTCCTGACTCACGCTGCCCTGCTTCTCTCTCTGTGTTCCCAGGGCAGGCCAAGTACGCTGGGAACAGGTCCAGCCTGCCCTGAGCGTGGAAAGGATTCCCATCCATTCCTCAGCTGGAAGGGCTGGACCGCCTCCAGTGGACGCTTGGACGTGTGTTCTTCCATTGGAGATAACCAGAGGGTGTGTTGCAGAGACACACTTTGCTTGGTAACTGAACTTTACCAACGGCAACTTGGCTTTACCATAGAGTTGATTTGGAAGGTGGGCTTGTGCAGCCCAGTCTCTCAGAATTTTCTACTCTTTATGACCTCGGGCAGAATAGTTAGCACCCATTGGTAGGCATCTCATCCCTCTGAGAAGCCCTTGAGGGCAGGAGTTCTATCTTAGTGTAATTCTAGGTACCTCATGGGAATGGTATCTCCAACTCCCAATTTTTCTTCTCCCCAGAAATGCAAGGCAGATATTCCTTAGGTGGAGGGCTTAAACCAGCCATGAGAAAGACCTAGGAGCAAATCACCCCTTCATAACATTTCCCTGCCTGATAGGACAGTGACCTTCGTTATAACATCTTTAACAGACCTCCGTTCCACGTAGAACACCAGGATAACTCTCTGGGAGCATCCAGTAAAGCGCCAAGCTTCTTGGCATAAGAAAGGAATGGATGGTGTGGATAAGAGGAAGATTGGCCAGAACATCAGTGGGTTTGGGTTGAGGAAATGGGAACATTCATCTTCCACTAGAAAAAAAATGATCCTGGAGAAAGGACTCTGTGAGTGACACTTCATTGGATAAATGTTTATTGAATGCCTACTATGTGCCAGTTCCAATACTAAGCATTTGGAGTGGGGGTTAAGAGGGTCATATCAAAAGCAGAAACCTAATGGGATGGAAAAAGGCATAGACAATCTGAAAAACATATCGCTGGAGGGAACTTTCTTATTCTTCCCTCGTAGGGAAGCTCAGTACCCATCTCTGTTCTGCACACTTGGTGGATGTCTGCTGCACATATCATGGTCTGGGACACTAGTTAAAAGAAGACAGGGCTCTTAGAACGTGTGAGGGCAGGATGTGGGCCCTGGGGAAAGAGTAAGATTGTCCAGGCAAAAATCTCAGGCCCAAATGCATTTACAGTAATCCAGAGGGTCTGTCAAGGCAGACATCTGGTTTGAAGGGTCAGAGGACATTCACAGCCATCATCCTGCRTTTTCCTAGAAGGCCACTCTCTCGCTGTCACACAGACCACTCTAGTGACCACGAGCCAGGGTGGAGCTTCCTTGCCCAGCCACAGACCCTGAACATAGGAAATTTCAGCTGATGGGCCGTCCCCCGGGACTTTTTTCTTTGGTGTCCACTAAAAGTAGGTCATGTGGGGACCTCTATTGAGGTTGCCTAAGGAAAGCCTTTGTGAGTTGCCAGAAGATTCTGGCGTCTCAGGCATTGTGGCTTAAGCTCATGCTTACAGTCAGCCCTGACAGAGAGGGAGCCACCCAGACCACCTACAGGGGACACTTGAGGGATGCAGAGAAGTTTCTCCAAAATACCTGATGGAATGGCCTGTGTCAGCCGCTGAAGTCACGGAATCATTCCTTTTGGCTAAGAAAATGACATCTATTAAATTCTTGTGGATGAGAGGATGAGACATAGCTTTGGTGGCCATGCAGTTAGGTGGAGTCGTTGGGTACTGACTAATGATACCCAGGGAGAACTAGTGACTAATTTAGTATGAGCACAGGGGATGGTCTCTAATGGTGGGCCTTARGGCTCTGCTTCAGCTGACCCATCAAGCTTCAGGAGTTATTAAGATTTGGGCTGATAAAATATTTAAGAAACAGAAAACTAGGAGGGACTGCTGGAGTTTAAAATTGTGGAAGAAAGATTCAGGAAAACTACTGTAGGTTGAAATAACWGTCTCCAAATGTAACAATAATAGACTCAAAATGTAACCTATTAAGGAGAGATGTTACCTTTTCCATATGYTACCTTCAAGATCCTGTGTCATGGTTCACGGAGAAAAGGAATCAGCCCCAAGAGAACAGGCAATAGGGAAAGTGACGAAAGAACACTGATTATTAAAAAACAAACAAACAAAAAACCAAAAACCCAATCTCTGTGGTGTCGATTGACTAAACACACAGCAGGGGCCAACTTGAAAAGTGAGTGCAAAGTGCCCCACAGAGACCGGGTGGTTTCAGTGACCTCRCCAGTTCAGCTCTAGTCCATCTCTTGACCAGGTCACACCAGCAGTACAGAAACAAGCCTGGAAACCACATCGTCTAGGGACCGACAATTTTTCAATCAAGAAGAGAGAGGTGGACAAGGCTTGTTAGTTCTCCAAACGTCTGAGGTACTACCATGGAGAGAAATTCTACAATACTGTCCAGCTCCCACAGCCAAGACAGAGGGCCGGGTGTTGGAGCCAGTTTCAGCTGTGGGGAGCCCACAGTGGACGCTCCCTCAGAAGGGGTGAGCTCCTTGTCCCTGGAGGAGTGCAAGCAGGAACTAGACGACCTCCTGCCAGGAGCGTTACAGTCAGATTCCTACGTGGAGAAAGGAGTGGGATTGGTGATTGCTGAACCCCAAGATCCCYTCTTTCCCTGAGACTTAAAATGTACCCACTGTCCCTCCTTGGAGGTGCCCACCAGCTAGCTCTTGGCACTGTAAACCCTTGTGTAGATTGGTGCCACCTCTTCTCCGCCCCCAGACRCCCACACACACACATAGGCCCAGCTAGTGCATGTGTTGTATGGTGGGGCCCTCTCCTGCCTCTTCCCTGGACCCTCACAACCTTGACCTTGAAATCAGCTGCACTTAAACATCCTCACTCTTCCACATCCAAGGGTGTGTGTATATATAAGCCCTTCCTTGATAAGAATTATTTTTGAATTAATTCAAAAGTGGCTAGGAGTGAAGTGCAGTCCAAAATGAAGTGTCAGTTAGTGTTCTGTCTGCGTCTGTGACCCAGTTGTAAACCCCTGGGTTGATGGAGGTGAGGACACCCTTGTCTCTTCCCACCCCTACTCTTCAGAGATGTGACTCAGGCTCTGTGTTATACTCCCTCAGTGATGTCTAGAGATTGGGGACAGATCACAAAATTACAGATGACCCTTACAGGCTTGCACTTTCTCCACAGTGCATTAGAGTTACCCAAGCAGAAAACTGCACCAGCATAGACCAAGGTCATTCCCCTCAGGGATGCTAGAGGCATGAGTCACGAAGTCTGGAGCCTGGCTGATGAAGTTTCACCTAATTGGCTAATTAATCGTGTTCCTGGATTTCTTTGGGCTTGGAGCATCCTGGGGGCTCCTTTGTAAATTCTCCTGTAGATGGCGGAAACTTTCCCCTTCCTCAGATGAATGCCCTCACCAAGGGAGAGTTCACAAGTTGGACCCTGTTGGCCAGTGTCAGAACACTGGGCAAATACCATGGTCAGTAAGCCACAGTGGCATTAGTCTCTCAGAATGACA